GGCCTCATGTATGCAAGGCAAGCACTCTACCACTGAGCCACCTTCCCAGCCTGAGAGATAAGCTTTTAAAATTTCCTGTGAATTATTGCTAGTACGGGGCCGGCGAGCGGGGGCATTGTGTCCGCCAGCGCCGGGCTGCATTTGTCTGCCGGAGGGTTGTTAGCGAGCGTGCGCCGCGGTGGCCGGCCGGGACTGCGAGTGTCCGCGGCGGCCGCGGCTCGGGCGGGAGGCCGAAGAGGAGGAGGAGGAGGGACCACGCGCCCGCTGGCCGCGATCGCTGGCAGGGGGCGGGGTGCCAGCGGAGCAACATGCCCAGAGGCGCCCGGCGCCCTGACGACCCTTCGCGAGGCCAAGGGGCCGGGGCCGCTCTGGGGCGGCGGAGAGCATGAGCGAGGCCGGGGGGCGGCTCGGCTCGGAGCGCTGTTGAGGGAGCGACGAGCGCCGCACGCTCGCGGGGCGCGGCGGAGGGCGGGGAGCCGCGTGGGGAAGCCGGGCAGGTCCGCTGGCAGGCGGGAACCGACCGCGGGGAGCGGGAGTGATTTCCGACGCGGACGGGGGGGCGGCCCGGAGCCCCGCCGAGGCTCCAGCGCGCAGCCGACATGGGCAACGCCGGGAGCATGGATTCGCAGCAGACCGATTTCAGGGCGCACAACGTGCCTTTGAAGCTACCGATGCCGGAGCCAGGTGAACTGGAGGAACGGTTTGCCGTCGTGCTGGTGAGTGTGCGGCGGCCCGGCGTGGGGACCTGGGCCCCGGGCCGGGCGGCGTAGCGGACCCCCGCCCCCTCGCCCTCCGTGCGGAGCGAGCCTCCCGTCCCGAGGGGGAAGGCTCCTTCCCACCTTCCCCATTGTGGTCTGCCTGCCTCGCGCCTCGCCATCCTCCCTCGAGTCTCTCCTGGGGACCCGGGATGGGAACCGGGCTCGGGGGCGGGCTGCCCGGCCAGCCCTCACCCATTGTCTAGCGGGAGAGGCACCTCGCGGCGCGCGTCCCCCCGGAGGTGCGGCGTGCGTGTGGAGAGGAGGTGGTGCGCGGGCTGGGCACGGGGGAGCGGCGAGCCGATGGGGCTTTGTGTTTAAGAAAGAGAAGAAAAAGGAGAAGGGAAAGCCCCGCAAACCCTGAGCCCGTTCGGACCCTCGCTCGGGCCGCCCAGTTCCTAGGCCTTGCGGGGTCCCCGGCAGTGGGGGCGCAGGTGGCCGGCCGCAGGCGCTCGGGCACGGCGTGGAGAGAAGGCAACTTGAAGTGTGGACATCGCGGCGTGACGGAGCGGGGAGAGTCCGGGTCTCCGGGTCCCCCACGCGGGAAGGAGGCATCGGGAAACCCCAGCGGAGCAGAGCCTCAGGCGGGAAGGGCGGGGGGGGGGAACCTCGTGTGTTGTTGTGCCCTTTGGTTTTAAATCATAAAACACGAACGTGTACTTTGGCCGGGACGTGTTGCGAGCTGTGTTAACTACGTGGGCGACCCCGGGGCCCCCCCAAGCCAAGTCCCCAGCTCCGCAGCCAAGGCCCGCAGTCAGCGTCTCCCAGCTTTCCAGTTTCTCAAATCCACGATTCGGAAGCCTGCCTCCTTCTTCTGTCTCCTTCTCCTGCTGGGAGTTCAGTTCTGGGCCCTAACCAACCACTTTCGGTCGTGCTGTGAGCTCAAGAGGGTGTGGTGGCCTTCCCTAGCCCCGGCCGGGGTTTGAGCTACACTTGGTCCCTACATTTTCAGCTTTAGTGTTCCAGACTCTTTTAAGGAATATTGAGGGGCAAACGACCAGTCTGGGTCGTCCCTAGGCTCATACTCGCACATCTTCTAGTTGGTCACCTCAAATCCCAAAAGCTAGGCAGAAAGAGGAACTTCTAATGGCAGGCAGTCCACCATCTGACACTACCTTGCAAGCTCTTTTGGCGTATCACCTACACAGCTTTGGAAAATAAGGACTTGAACCCTAGATCCGAAGTCAGTTTTCTGAGGTTTGGATGGTAACTGAGACACTTAAATTGCCTTTCTTCTGGGCTTGCAGAAAGGACTGCCTTGCTATGGGGATTTTGTTCGGGATGGCAGGTTATAGCTTTATCTTCTCTAGGAGGGCAGGGGCCACAAGCTTTTTCAGGCCACCGGGAAACTGGCCTTTCAGTGGGGGAGATAGAGGAGGTTGCTTCTTCAGTGATTGCCCACAGCTGCTCCCCTGCTTTAAGATGGGATCCTGAAGCCTAGGCTTACATGACTTCTCAAGGAAGTCTGGGTGCATATTTGCACTGCCTTTGTGGAGACAAGCGATTTTCTTCAAGAAAGAATTGTTTCTAACAGGCATATGGGTCTTAACCTTCGGGCTCTGGGCTTTTTGTTTTTCCCTCCATGCTGTGGTGCTTATGTGTGTGTTGGAGGGGCTAGTGACACAAGGAAACCAGTGCAGCAGCCATAATAATAACAATAATGCAATTAAGTTCTGCTCAACGGGGATTGCATTTTTTTGCATGAGCTTTCAGTTACCCTGCTGATTAATAACACATGGTATGAATTAATCTTTAGAAAAATGATGTCCTTTTATTAACATGGTGAATTGTGTTCCCATTAAGTCTAGCAGCCACGGTTAGTGTGTGGACTTTTATGATTGTACATCACAGACTTCTTGGGGTGGCGGTTGTTTGTTGTGGCTACTTTTCCTCTACTGTGCGTCACATACAGTTCTGGGTGCAGTTCTTTTAAGTTGTTTACAATATTCTGTGCTACTCAATCAAATAAACAACTAAAATAAAAAAAAACATCAAAATCCCTGGCTGACCTTTTTTTTTTTTGAATAGAGACAAAGATTTTGGGATCTCAACTTGTAGACCCTTGTTAGGAGCTCACTTAAACCAGTGATGTTTACTCTTCCATCTGATCTCCATTTGCTCTGGGATGATTTATGAGTGGAGTCAAAGGAAACCTTTCCAAATATCCAGTATTATGTGTTGACTTACCTTGTGTTCAGTTTTTTTGTGGTGCTATATACTCAACACTCAACTTTGTCTTTTTTTGCTCTTCATGAATTGACTGGGAATTAGTTACAACCATTTCTTGAAATTAAGCTTGAAAGGTAAGTTTAGTTGGCAGGTATTTAGTTGGCAGGTATTGTGTTATATGGAAGAATTCACTCTCCGTACAGTGGGCATTATCTTTGCACTAGCAGTATTAGCTCTTTTCCCTCCTCTTTTTGCTTTTTTTTTTTTTTTTTTTGACAGAGTCTTGGTTTATAGCCCAGGCTGGCCTTGAACTTAAAATCCTGCCATGCTGGATTAAAAGCATGGGCCACCATGCCATGCTGTTTTATTTTCTTATATAATAAAGATCGCATGTGGGTTTCAGGAGGAAAACTAGATGATAATATTGTGCTGAAAAGTGTACAAGCACCTCATTGTAAGTATAACTTACATCAATAATGAATGTGCCATGTTAGGCTAGGAAAACAATTCCTTCCAACATCCAGCTGTAGAATATTTAAAGGCTTAACAAGGGAGGAGTAAATAAAAATTAAAGTGATAGTTCATCTTATTTTCTGTTAGTAACTCCTTAATAGAGCAAAAACCTAGAGCATTGGTAGAGCATTGGCTGTATCTCCTACCCTCAACAGGTCATATGTGGTAAATTGTAGAAATCTAAGAAAAATAGTTAGTGGTTATGAATGGGAAGAACATAGGAGAGTGCAAAAGACAGTCACTGAAATAAGATGAGAGGAGAGCTCAACTTTCTTTCTTTTTTTTTTTTTTGGGGTCCATCATAGGGCCTGAACTCTGCGCTTGGGTGCTGTCCTTCAGCTCTTCAGCTCAAGGCTAGGGCTCTACCACATGAGCCACAGCGCCACTTCCGGCTTTTTCTGCTTATGTGGTCCTGAGGAATCAAACCCAGGGCCTCATGTATGCAAGGCAAGCACTCTACCACTGAGCCACCTTCCCAGCCTGAGAGATAAGCTTTTAAAATTTCCTGTGAATTATTGCTAGTACAATTGGATCCTTAGTTTACTCCTTATGAGGAAAACCTCCTTCCTTTATCCTATTTTCAGTATTGCTATAATAATAGTTGGAAAGTTATGTTTATTTAAGGAAAAAAAGATTACTGACTCAATGTATACATTTAACCATTTGGATCTCTTGAAATGTCCTTTTCTGGTTGTTATAAGGTGTATGTATGTATGCACACACGTGTGATATTTCTGTTATGCCCATCACTTGAAGTGTCTCCTACATGATAAGTTTGTTGCATTTATTTTAATATTTGTTCCTTTGGAAAATGTGTGTGTGTGTGTGTGTGTGTGTGTGTGTGTATGTATTTGTAGTTAACATTAGCCTGGGTTTTTTTGAGTCATACACATATATGATTACATAGCCATGAGGCTTTCCAAAGTGTTTCTTTAACATTGTCTAATGACGGATTGCAAACACACAAATCCCCCCTTGTTTTTCATTTTCAAATGTGATGCCATGAGGGTGAGTCTTGGTGGGTGCTGTAAACAGCTGTGGTTTTTGTCTGTGGATACTTCGACACTCTACAGTATCGTTTACTAGCTTTTAGTCACTAATGGTAAAGTATGTGTGCAACATAAAATATAAGTTCTCCAGTTCTTGGTTGGGGAGCTCTTCTTACAATTCTTTGAACAGCTAGGTAAAGGCTAACTGTCAGTATCAACATAATTTCAATATCAATACTACACAAGCAGATACAAAAGATAGATTAGGAAATAATGGTGTAGGACAATATTATCTCATGTTTGATATGGAGAACTGGTTTAGTAGCTCATTGAATCAATTTTCTCTTGATTTTTTTCTTTTTATTTGCACTAAATGAATATAGTTATTTTGCCTTGGGAAGGAGGAGCACTTTGAGGCAGCCCCTTGTTAGCAAGACTTATACTTACTTGCCCTCACCAAATCTTATTGGTAACTCCAGCCATCAGTAGCATGAATGCCTAAGTAATGATTACTTCTGTGGCCTGAAGTCATCTGGTTATTAAATAACCAGTCTGGGATATTAACTAGATTTGAATCTCTTTCCTTACTCTCTCCTGCCTTCCTTCATTATATTACATTTTCCCAAACTTACAATTGAGGGTATAAAAAGAAAAGGGCTTGGGATCATGGTAAAAAAAATTCCTAAATCTGATAAATGCAAGTTTCAGATTGTATACAGTTGTAGAAATTTCTCTGAAGTGATTGAAGTGAGATGTGTTTGATATTTATCTTTAGATGTCAAACCTTTTGCATCAGCATGGAGTTGAATATAAATGTGATTCAAAAGTGTACTCTTTAGTTTTTCTTTTTAGGGGCAGATTTGAAATGCCTTGATTGGAAAGTTTAGGTTTAGGTTTAGCAAACCAGGGCAAGAGACAGCTTTTCAGTAGACTGCATACACTTCCAGTGTAATTACCTGTGAAAGGGACAAGGAAGGTCAAGTTGTAAAAGCTTTGTTTCCCACTTTTCACCACTTCATGGGGAGCACTTGCCATGAGATCTGTTGAGCAGATGGATGGGTGGGAGTGTAGTGAGGCCATCACATGCTGCTGATTTGTTTTCTCACATCCTTTCTCTTGCTATTAGGGAAAGAGAGCTGGAAGGGGGGTTGGGGTATTGACACTTTGAACTGTCACAATTTCACTCTGCATAAGTTTTTTTTTTTTTCCCTCCAGAGTGGAAATGGATACATAAGGCTATGTATATCATCATTGCCAGCATACGTTTTTCCTTCTAATAAGACCAGTAAG